GACGAGGCCGACATTGAGGAAGATGTGGACAGCGAGGAGGACGACACGCTGCTCTCGTCCCGCCCGAGCCTGGTCTAGGTGTGTATTTGGCATGTGGGGGGTCACTCGGAGAAGGACACATTGCTGTGGTGGGGGTGCAGGGTAGGGGGTAGGGTCGAGGCCTGCGCAAGTTCATGAAAAATCGTGGTGTGGGAGAGAGGGTCACACAGGGAGGGGTCGGAAATCTAGGACGTAGGAGATAGGGCCAGACGTAAAAGAAGTACGTAAGAAAAGCTCTCCCTCACACACACACACACACATGGCGCGCGTAGCTATGACAGGGACCGCGGCCGCGGATCCGGCGGCGGACGGGGCTGGCGCGCAAGCGCCGGCCACCGTCGGGCCGCCGGGGATGCGCCGCGGACGGCCCTGGAATAGCAGCGATCGCGCGCACATGCAAGACTGCCTCATTGCCGCAAGGCTTGCAGGTGTGTCGCAGCTCAGGTATGAGGTCCCTGGCTACGGGACGGCGACCTTCGACCTGAAGCACGAGAAGGCCGCGGGCGACCGCGAGCCGGTGCAGGCGGCGGAGCGCTCGTTCGTCGAGCGCACCGCGCCGCGGAAGGAGGAGCTGACGGAGGAGCAGAAGGATGCTCGGGCCGCGGCTCGCAGGGCCAAAAAGGCCCGGCAGAAGGCGAACAAGGCGGAGAAGGCTGCGGCGGCGGCTGCGAGCGAGGCTGAGCGTGCGGACTACCCGCACGCGCAGCTGCGCGAGAACGTCGAGTTCGTCATGGACGGCCTGGAGGCTGCGACGCAGGCGGCGCGCAACCCAGCGGGGTCCAATATTCAGGTCGCCTACTCGCTGCCTCCCGAGGGGGGCAGCGGGTTCGGCGACCTGGTGTACGCCACGGTCCCTCTGGGCTCCGTGGCGACCAAGGTCGCCCGGGACTGGCTCGCCAACGAGCTCTACGAGCCGTCCCGGGGCGGCAAAATTGATGCGGCCTGCAGGGACCGAAAGGTCGCCGACCTGATCACGGCTGCCGGCGCCTCGGCGCCGGCCGACGCCGTGTTCGGCGGCAGGTTCGCGAAGGGCGAGACGCCCCGCTCGACGACCTCCGCCTCCGAGGCGGACGAGGGCGACGGCGCCGGCGGCGATGGCGGGACCGGCTTCGACCTGTTCGGGCCGGACCCCACCCCCATGGAGGACCTTTGAGGCCCTCTCCAGTCTCACCCCACCTTACCTCTGCCCCCCCCTCCCCCCATCCCTCTGCCTCCCATAGGGCAGGATAGCACTAGCATATGCGCCTAGTGCGCACACTGGGCCCACATAGATGTGACCCGCCCGCTCGAGTGCGGCGTCCGGATGCTAGTGCTTGAGAGGACACCACAAACGCGGCACGGCCCGTTTTGGATGTCTGCGGAGATTCTGTCTTAGCACACACAGTGAGTCATTCGGAGTCATTCGATGGCCAGAGTGCGATTGTGTGTGTGCGGGAGTTGGTTTGTCGGGAGGGAGGGGCAGGCTGCTCACCCACGTGCACCGGGCCAGTGCTTGCACTTTGAATGCCGTGGGGCTCCTGCCCGTGTCCGGGCGTGGAGATGCGAGGGTCGCCCCCCCCTTGCCCCACCACTTTGTGTGTGTGGAGAAATCTACCTTACCTTACCTTGCTCTCCCTCACCTCCTCCTCGCACACCTGTTGACGCACTGGGTCGCGCCGTGTGATCCTCTCGTCTTTGCGAGAGCCCATATACGGCGGAGACCCACACGTGGCGATCTCTGTGTCTGCAGACTGCACACGCTCGCGGCCGAGGGCAAGCTAAAAATAAAGACACTTGGAGCACTTAGCCGAAACAGCTGACAGACAGACAGAGAGAGAGTACACAAGTTCAAACGAGCGCTGCGCCGGTCGCCGCCGCGCACCCACACGAGCTAGATGGTCCCATAGGACGCCCTCTCTCTCTCTCTCGACTCGGCTCGCACCCCGAACACGCGAAAAGCATTGGCAAAAACTGCGCTCTTGGCCTCTGCTTGCGAGGACAGTTACGGACAGATATTTGGGTATCGATCTCGGACCCAGAAGTGGAAAAACTGGCTCTCAGGTTGGTGTTCGAGAGAGGTGTCGTCGTGAGTCGTGATAAAGCCACAGTGCACAGGACCCACACACGACACAGATTAAGGTCCTCCGGGCCCCTTTAGGGAGGCAAACCCTGGCCGGCCCCTAGAACCCCAGGTAAGGCCCAGGTGTGGCCTAGGGCATCAGAAGGGACCAAGAGGAGTCCAGTCTGAGCCCTAGAGCCCAGGTCTTTGCCCCCGAAGGTCGCGTTCAAATGCCCGGAACGGACGTTACAGTGGTGTCCGGCCGGCGCGATCACCGAGCTGTGACGCTCAGGGAAGAATACTGATGAGGTGCTGGTTTCTTTGCCCAGGGCTGGCCTTCCCCCCAGGCTGGATCAGCTGAGCAAGGTTTGGGGAGAATCCCCCGGTCAGATCTTCAGATATTTTAACGGATGACCGAAATCACCCCGTTTTTGCCCATTTTTTTCACTCATCGACCAATGTTGAGTTTTTCTTGTTGGGCCATGGCGCCGCTCGTGCGGAAGCCACCGGCTTCGGAGCGCCTCGTGTTGATCCCAGATTCGATAAGAGGAACACGACTGGCTACAAGAACGTGACCTTCGATCACAGCACAAAGAAGTTCGTGGCGAAGGTGAATGATGGCGGCAAGCGTGTCCACCTCGGCTGCTTCGACACCGCCGAAGAGGCGGCCACCGCCTACGCTCGCTCAGAGTACGGCCGCGCCGACGCCGCCAAGCAGCTGCAGCCCCGCGCTGCTCCCACTGCCGCCGGCGCCGCGGCGATACTGCAGGCGGCGAGGGAGGGCCTCACCCTCACCGCCAGCAGCAACAACAGCACAGGCTACAAAGGCGTGGCCTTCTGCCCGAAGCATTCAGGCAGCAAGAAGTACGAGCTGTCGGTGTGGGTTGGCGGCAAGAAAGTCTTCCTCGGTTACTTTGCCACCGCCGAGCAGGCGGCGCTCTTCTACGCCCGCAGGGAGGCGGGCAGGGACACCAGCGATCTCACCTGACAGAGTCCTGACGGAGTCCTGACAGAGTCCTGACAGAGTCCTGACAGAGTCCTGACGGAGTCCTGACAGAGTCCTGAGGCCTATTTTGGAGTTTTTCAACTTTGAGGTATTGTAACTATGTGAAGGCACTATGAATGCATCAGTTCTTTGGGAGAGTGCAATCCATTTAGTTATTACCTCCAACTCAAAAAAAAAGTCTCTGGTGGCAAACGGACAATGGGGTCCCTTATGGTGGCCTCTAAGGGTAAGTTGTGGGAGCTCCACAAACCAGGTTCCAACTCGGGGCCAAAATCCGCCTCGGGACGCGATTCGGGCCTGGTATTGCGACGGTGTATCATCCACTTTATGCCACCGTTGCATATCCGGATATGCAACGGTGGCATAAAGTGAATGATACACCGTCGCAGGTATCACATGCGTTGCCATTGTGGCGACGCGTCCGCGATTTTTCGTGTGCACGTACGCGCGGGGCCTAATATTACCACCTGGCCCCGCGCCCTGACACATGCACAGAACGTTCCCCCACCCATCCTGTGCACCCCTGAGAGCTACGATGGCGGCACTACTCTGTGTACAACATGCGATGAACGCGACCTAAAACATGCATCCCCGCCCGACCGCTGGCTCTACAGCCGGCACCAGGTCGCGGATCGGCCCCGGAAAGGCGAATAATGAAGCAGGCTGGCGCGTCACTCCCCCCCGGACGCGTCGCGCAGCTCGTCGACGGTCAGCGTCTGGCGCAGCTCGACCGACAACTGCCTCGTCATATCGGCGGCGCTGCGCAGCTCCCCGCTCACGACGTGCAGGTACACCGCGACCCCCCGCCGCCGCTCGTGGAGGAGCCGCCACGGGCCGAGCTGCAAGGCGGGCGGCGCGCAGGGCGGCGGGCTCCCCGCCGCCCGCGCCGCAGCCACCTGCAGGCTCTTGTCCGAGTCCTGGTCGACGAGATCGAGGCGGCGTGTGCACAGCCAGCGCAGCGCGGTGTAGCCAGGGAGCATCCAGTAGCGCAGGCACGGCCGGGGCGGCCGTGCCGACTCCTCGCGCTGCTGCTGCTGCGAGAAGGCGGTGCGCGCAGTGCGCATCATCACCTGCGTGGCGAGAGAGAGCAGCACGCCCGAGCCAAAGAGTACCACCAGGCCCACCTCGAAATCCGCCGAGATGTAGAAGCACTCCGCGTACTGCTCGTCGAGGGCGCCCGTGTCGGCAAGCGCCGCGAACATCGGCATCAGGTCGTTGCAGTAGCACGCCACCAGGAAGCGCGAGATGGACTCGATCTGCGAGATGCCCAGCCCCACGGCGATGATAAAGACCTCCTGGTACGACCACGCGGAGATGGCCTCCGCCGCGACGTACGCGCGCCGCTGGCCGGAGCGCGTGAGGGGTGCAAAGTGCAGCACGAGCAGCGTGGCGCACTGCAGGATGGGGGCGACCACGGTGCAAAGGACGAGCGTCGCCACCACCGTGTACATTCCAAAGACGCCCAGCGCCGAGCCGGCGTCGGGCTGCCACATCCCGTTGGCCTGGTCGGCGAGGAAGCGCGCGAGCTCGAAGACCGAGTAGGTGCGGACGCGCGAGCCCGCCTCGTGTGCCTCGACGAGCATGCCCACTACGCCGTTGTACTCGTACCGCAGGGCGGGCAGGTACGACCCGACGACGACCAGAGGCATCAGGGCGAGGAGCAGCGCCGCGAGCGCCGCGAGGTAGAGGCGCGTCACGACGGCGAACCGGCGGCCGGTGGAGCCGACAGAGTAGGGGTGGCCCGCCAGCCTCTGCCGCGGCTCCGCCGCCGTCCCCTCCGTCGCCCCCCCGTCGCCCTTTGCTTGGGCGATCGCCGACGCGCCGTGCCGTCCGGCGCTGCTGTGGCGATCGCTGAGCGCGACGCTCGTCCGGCGGCTCGCCGGCTTGCTCGCCGGCGGCTGGTGCGAGCGATGCCCCGCGAGCACCGCCGCCCTTAGGTCGGCGAGGTGCGCGAGGTGCGCGCGGTGGTAGTGGAGGCAGACGTGCGACGAGATCTGCGAGACGAACTGTGCGAACATGTTTGCGTACAGCCCGTACCGCGGCGTGACAAAGAGGTGCACGCGGTAGAGATCGCCCATCAGGAACTCGAGCTCGGCGGGCGGCTCGAGCGCGAGGTCAAAGCCGACGACCGAGATGATCATGACAAAGATGTCGATCATCGACCACTTGCCCAGAAAGTCGAGCCACGCAAAGGCTGCGCCCCGGTTCTCGAGGCACACGAGCCAGGGCGGCGTAACCCATAGGCCGCACATGACGCCCAGCTTGACGTACGGCCATGCGCCGGAGAAGACGACCACCACCCACGCGAGGAACTTGGCGCCGGCGTTGTACATGTCGATGGTCGACTGAGCGATGGAGAAGGTGAAGTAGGCGTCCAGCGCGATGGTCTCGCTGCCAGCGTCGATCAAGATGTCGACCGTCGCACCCACCTGAGGACACGGCGGGGACTCGTTGGGTGAACGTTTGGGGGGGGTGGGGGGGGAGCCCCTCTCGGAAGAGCGTCTCGGGCGGCCGTCTCGGGCGTGCGTCCGCAGGGCGCACCGCCAGGTGGCCGGTGAGGAAAAGAGCCGCGTTGCACACCAGCACGAGCGGGACGCCGTACCGCATGCAGCACGGCACCGCGGCCGAGCGCGCGAGCGAGCTGGTGCGAGCCACGTGCTGTGCGAGGCCCAGCGGATCGTCCAGATCCAGGCCGTGCGCCGCGCGCTGGCACCGGCGGTAGCGGCCGCGGCGCCAGCAGAGGTAGGCGACGAGCGCCGCCACCGCGGCGGCGGAGACCAGAGCCCAGTGCCACCACGGCACCTGCGGAGAGGCATGGGTGGACGTGGTGAGGGTCGAGTGGTGAGGGTCGGTGTGGTGAGGGCGATGTGGTGAGGGCGGTGTGGTGAGGGTGGGTGTGCCCAGGGTGTGGTGGGGCGAGCGGGAGGTGCAGAGGGTGAGCGCTCACCGACGCCGCCCAGTCGCGGAGGAGGTCAGGGAGGTCGGGGTAAATTCCCTCCT